ATTTTTATTGGGATTGCACTGAATTTTAGTTTATTTGAAGAGAACTGATATCTTTACAATATTGGATCTTTAAGTCCAAGTTCTCCAGTAGTTTCCTCCAACTTTTTTCATTCTTTGAAAGATCTTTTTATATAGTAGACTATTGTCTTTTGTCTGATAGATGTTACAGATATTACCAGTTGTCATGAGTTTTAATTTTTTAATTGGCTTTTTCTTTCTAGATGAGCAATACAAATGTCATGTTCACTCATTTTTTCATATGCCTTTCTTTCTTAAAATGTTTATTTATTTAGTTAGTTTTAAGTGGACACAATATCTTAATTTTCTTTTTGTGTGGTGCTGAGATTCAAACTCAGTGCCTCACACATGCTAGGCGAGCATGCTGCAACTTGAGCCACATCCCCAGCCCTCATATGCATTTCTAAAGGGCTTCTTCACCCCAATATTTTATTCTAGTTCTGTTGTTACCCTTTTATAGTTAACACTTTAACCTTCCTACAATATTTTTGTATAAGATACAAAGTATAATATTTAATTCCTGTTTATTTCTAAAATGGACACTTCTCTTTATCTTAACATTAACATGTCTACACATTTGAAGTTAAAATTCAGAAATGAAAGAACAAGGAAGCTAATCTTGTGTGAAATTAGGTCAAGATTTGGTTAGATACTAAATTAACACATAAGGGAACTGAGTGTGTTTAATTGTTTTCTTTCACCATAGGGAAGATGTTGTATGAAGAGCATGGTTCTATACTTGAAAAGATTATTAGGAAAAAATGTGCATTTAATGAATCAAGTGTTTATGTCTATATTTTGTTGAGGATGAAAAGTAGTAAACATAAGTTTAAATTATTCTAAAATACATAGCAACTGACACAAAAATTACTTATTCCATATCAAAAACAACTCACATCTTTTAGTTTTGTCCATGGTCAGTATAAAACAACTCATCAATATGTAAAGACTGGTTTCAAAGAGGGGAGAAAACATGAAAAATATGTGTTCGAAGGTCTTTATTCACCCACTGCCACCATTAACTAAGTGATCTTGTCATAGGGAAATAACCAGTATATTTTTGATTGATAACTTTAGATAATGTTATATTCTATGAATAACAATTCATTATTAAAATATAAAAAGTATGATATATCACCCATATTTTGTCATAAGAAGAAAAACTATACTTTCCTGATTATGTTAACTTATTTCTTTGCAAAAGTGATACTTGTATGTTGTTCAATTTTTTTAAGTATAGCAAGAAATCTCCTACCATAGTCACCATCTGTTCCTCACCAAGCATTGATTGTACTTCCTGAAATATATGTACAAAAAAAATTCCTAGAAGTCAGTGTCCCGGGTCAATGGTAATGTTTTTCATTCATTTGATACACATTTCCAAACTGTTGTCCACAATGGGTGCCCCAATATACACATCCCACCATTCATGTAGAAGAATGAGTATTTTCCCATAGCCTTGGCAGCATAACATGTTTTCAGAGTTGGATGTTTGCCATTGCAATAGATGGAGCTTTAATTTTCATTTCTCTGATTATGACCAATGCTAAGCTTATTTTAAATCCATTTATATTTTTTCATGAACTGTCCTTATCTTTTGTCCAATTTTCTTTTTGGTTGCTGACCTTTACCTTTTTAAGCTGCAGAAGCTCTTTTATGTTTTAGGAAAACTAGGGCCTTATTTGAGATATAACGCACTATTGTTTTTTGTAGTTTGTTATTTGTCCTTTAACTTTACCTATGGCTTTCTTGGTCATAGAGAAGCTTCTGATTTTTATATAGTCTACTTTACTAATATTTTGTCTGTTAATTAAAACTATCAACTATATTTTTATAGTTATATTTAATATTTTGACAAATCAATATATTTACTGTTTCTTACATTAAAAAAATAATCCTGAATTTGGAAATTTCCTTAAATTAAATGTATTTATTGTAGGTTCATCATGTGTGGGAATGTAGCTTATCCAGAAATAAAAGCTCAGCAAGGGAGCTCCATGTAAATAACAAATTAAACAATGTGAAATAAATGTTGTGATGCTTGGAAGCATAAGATCTATGGTGATATACCTAATACTACATCATAATTAAACTGAAAACAGTCTCATTATATGCTAACATTTCATTATTCTGATATTTCATTATTCCGATATTAAATTTTATTCATTGTCCTGTTTTATGTCAGCAATCATTCTACCTCTATAATCACAGAGAAAGGGCTGAAAGGATGAGAAAGAAACCAACAATGTTAGTTAAATATCCTACAAATATCTGAACTTACATATAAAGCCTAAGTGAAATGTGAACGATTTTATAATCAGATAAAAATGAAGTTAATAGCTCAGTTTTAGAGATTTTAGGAAAATATGATGGCTATTATCTCTAGTACTTTCCAAATCTAGAGGCTCTTAGATGATGTTAGTTGAAACTGTAAAATGCTTTTTACATCTACTTGTGAGTAGAAAATGATCCCATAAAAATAAAATGGTTTAGTTACCCCCTTTCAAATGCCAGAAAAATAAGTTGAGGGCATTATTAGATTACATATTACAGACATAGCATTACAATTGTCATATATCCCCTCTCTCTTTAACACACATACATATACACACAATTTAGCACCATAGATGTAGTTACAGGTTTGAACTCATGAAATATAACTAGGTCTATTTATCTATTACTAATCTATTTGGCTTTATAGCAGGACACAAGTCATGCAAATCAGACACATCATTGTGATTCATTATTTGTGGACAAACATTCTATGCTCCCTGAGAAGTTTACTTTGTTTGCCCCCTCACACACAGAGAGGCTGCCAGGGATGAGAGTCAAGTGTATGCAGGGCACCTTCAATAGGAATCATTACTTCTATTTCCCATCAATTTTCTACACCGTTTTAGTCACATAGATTCAAGACCTGTGTCCCAATTCATGGTTCCCTAAGTCCAGATATAGTTCCATACAACAAAGGAGTGACAAACATTTTCCATTTATCCTAACGTCAGTGTTTCCAAGGGAACAATACTGTGGGAGCCTAAGGTCAGTCCCAGACTGGCCTGCTTCAGCCTAACCTAACCCTTGTTCATGTATCTATATGCCTTTTACACAAAATATGAAATATATTCATGTTAGATTTCAGTGTACATGGTATTTATATATAATAACATTTTGTGCAAAATTCCTGCACCTATAAATTAATTGCTTGGTTATTTTGTCCCTAAATCTTTTTTTTTTACCCCACATTTCAGGGATCCCATTAGAGAGTATAATGTTCACTAGTGAATTTTTTTAAATAAATGATTTTTCCAATGTATGTGGGATTGTGTGGTATATTAGCATATTAATCTAGTAAATTAGACACCAATATATTATTATACTTATCCAGTTTATTTTAAAATGTTCTCTGCTATTCATATCATAATATTATATAATAGATTTATATCAATATATATATTACAACATAATATTTTTCTATTATTAGAATGTTATTAATGCCATAAAGAATTGCCATTACCAGTTTGCATTCTTTATTCTTGGATAATGGTTTTAACTCTTGATATTCCAAAAAAAAAGCACTTTACTCTTGCTAATCCTGGTTCTTTATTTGCACTTGAGTTTGGGCAACAATTGCTAACACTTAATGACTTTGTTGTGTTTCACTATTAGGCAGAGTATTGGAATAAGCAATTTTCATAGATTACTTTATTCAGTCCTAAGATTAATACTAAGCAGATACTATTATTGTTCCTAATATACAAAACAGGCATTGAGAATTAGAGAATATTTGGCTAAAATATTAGGCAAGAGCTAGAATAAGGATTTAAATCCAAGCAGCCTAATCCTAGTCCCCACAATATTTAAAGCTATAGCATACTGCTCCTAAACTAATTAACACTTCTCAACCCAATGTCATTATCTATGACTAAATAGTACCTTTATCAGCATGTCACTGGTTAGATTAAAGAAGACAATAAATGTGAAACATTCAAGCATAATGCTTGTAATAGACACAACCCTCAATAAAAGTAGCCTATAATCATTCTGTTAAATTCTTCTCAATCCAAATATTATTTTTTACTTTTTATCCCAAGCATCTGCTTCTAGTTTACTTGATTATACTGTGGTTCACAAAAATTCTTACCTTACCAATTTTCCTTGTACATAAAGGATTTCCTTAATCCTTTTACTTTTTCTTAAGTGAAAAGAAAATTATTAACAAATATAATTGCAGAAATGATTACTATACAAACAAAAATTTTGGTTTGGTTTGCTTTCAAATTTTTCATGTTCTTAAAATCAAATCACTCATTTGAGATTTAAGAAACCTATGTTATAAATCTAGTACTAATGGCGAATAACTTGGCATATTCATTTTTTGGTGGGAGTAACAGGAATTGAACTCAGGGGCAGTTGACCACTGAGCTATATATTACAGGTCTATTTTGTGTTTTATTTATAGACAGGATCTCAATGAGTTTTTTACCACCTCACCACTGCTGAGGCTCACTTTGAACTCATAATCCTCCTGCCTTAGCCTTCCAAGCCACTGGGATTACAGGCATGCACCACCATGCCTGGCCTGGCTTATTCATTTTTAAAACTGCAAAGGAATTGTGCTTGGCATATAATACACAGATCACTATTATGTTTTGTAAGTGAGTTGATATGTGAAGAATGTACTTCTTTATTTTCATCTTTTGGAGTTAGGTATGCATTTGTGTAGTTATGTTATTTGAATTTACAGAAAAGCATTTATAGAATTGTGTAGTATTAATGAATGATTTCTAATACTCTAATTAAATCCTTTCATAACAACTATAAGTTAATATAATAAATGCAATTACTCAATATTATGATGATAAAATTCCCTCTTGTATTTCTATAACATTTCAGGCTGAATTATGTTTGAAAACATTTTTTTGCCATTTTTGTTTATAACATGAGGACCAATTACCTTTCTAAACATTTTTTTTTCTTTTTAGGTTTCTAGAGCTTTACCTGAAAAACAAGGAGAACTTGAGGCTCATATAAAAGATCTTGGGCAGCTTGAACAACAGTTGGATCATCTGCTTCTATGGCTGTCTCCTATTAGGAATCAGTTGGAAATTTATAACCAAACAACTCAAACAAGACCATTGGACATTAAGGTAGGGATGTATTATTTACATATTATTTTATAAATGAATTGCAATATCTTTGAATTAATTTTCTCATTCATTATCATTATTGTCATTGTTGAAGAAAAGACATGGTACTTGATAAAGCATAGTAAAGAGGACATCATGATGTATACAGGAACCACTGAAATAGGATTTTGTAGTAGGGGAATGAGATTGGACTCAACTCTAAATATAGAGAAGTGATGGATAGCCCAGAGGTAGGAAAAAGATCAGTGGATAAAATTGACAACAAAATAACTTTGGGTATTAGGGGATATTCTGGCTAAACCAACCTAATGGGATACTTGCTAAAGTCAGGCCAGGTGACCAATGAGCACCTTGGTGATGGTGGAACATAAGAAACCCCATCACATATAGAGAGTAATAAGATATTAAGGGTATCCAATATATAGAATGAGAGGTTCCTGGTAAACTGAATAAGCAGAGTTCTTTGTTAAAACTGGATTTTAGAAGAAAGTGAACAGATAGGCCTGGGAGAAGTTTCAGAAGGCTTATCAAAGTTTGGTCAAGCAAAGAGTCATTGTCACTACCATCATTGTTGCTATAATTTTGTTTCTTCCAACATGCAGTAGAAATGTCTTCATTAAATTCATGTCACCAGAATGCCTGCATCATATCCATTACCATGATCCCTTTTCACCCCTGCTTCAATTTCCCTTAATACATATCTGTAGATTTCTTTATCTAAAATTGATTTGTATCTAAAATTCTTATCCTAAATGTTTGGGAAAGATATCCTTGAATGAGAGAGATAGAAAGAGAGAGATAGAGAGGTTTTATCCAGCTAAAATGAGTTATATTTGCAAAGTATACTTCATTCTTTTTGCCTTACTTCTTCCTTATGCTTCTATTTACCATTCTAATAACTACGCACCCTCCGTGACCTAGCACCAAGAGCAGATGGCAAATTGTAAATTACAGACAAAAATCATTTTGCTAGTGAAAATCTCAGCCTGATCAATATGTCGCATACTCCTGGATTCAGTCTGGTAGTCAAACTCATGAATAACAGTAGCTAACAAATTAGTTTTTTTTAAAAATGTACAGGACAAATAACAACATAGACTGCACATTAATGGTATAGAGGATATCTTACACCAAGGCTTGGCTTTTGATGCCTTGGTCACCCTGATCTTCAGTCATGCATGGTCACAAGGGGCAAGCCTAGATGAATACAAAGCACATAATCGGTTCAAAGAAGCCATCAGTTCTAGGATCTCTTTAGTTTTTTAACTTAGCTAGTACTTAATATCCTTACAGATATTTAATTATGTCCCATTCACCTGTGCAACTACATCATCAATATAGATATTTCATTACCCATTAGGAAATCTCAGCCAGAGAGGCAGGAGGATTACAAGTTCAAAGCCAGCCTCAACAACTTAGTGAGGCCCTAAGCAACTTAGCAAGACACTGTCTCAAAATAAAATTTAAAAAAAGAAAGAAAAAAAGGGCTGGCTCAGTGGTTAAGCACCCCTTGGTTAAGGCTCCAGTAGTCCCCCAAAAAATCCAAAAAAGGTAAAGTAGTTACCTGGTCCAATGTATACAATAACCTCAGTCAAATTCCCAGTTATTCTATATCCAGTAAAAGTCCTTGATTTAATATTGCTGCCCTTTCCTTCCTACCGGAAATAGCACTTTGTAACTCACTGGTAAATGCCTGTTCCTCTGCTTTTAAATATAAGCTTTGGTTAAAATTGCTATTTTTGCTGGATGTAGCAGGCACATGCCTGTAATCCCAGCAGCTCAGGAAGCTGAGGCAGGAATATCAAGAGTTCAAACCAGCCTCAGCAAAAGCAACTTGCTAAGAACTCAATAAGACCGTGTCTCTAAATAAAATAAAAAATAGGGCTATGGATGTGACACAGTGGTTGAGTGCCCCTGAGTTCAATCCCTGGGACCCCAAAATAAAATATGCTACTTTTTTATAAAAATGAAATATACACTCAGTGCTAGGTATCTTCCTTCATAGAATATATTTAAGAGGGACTATAACAAAATACCCTGACACACGTAAAGACTGTTGACTCATGTAAAGTGACTTTAGTCTTTGTGTGTTTCCCCTAGAATGGTTCTCAAATATTGAAAGCCCACATTGGGTCTTCATTTGTCCATGGTCCATAAGGTTTCCACCAAATGGGTCCTGGAAATTTGAAGTGAAGACCATTCTTAAGTGTGTTAATGAATTTTCTTTATCAAAGCTTAAGTCACTGCTCTTGCTGCTGTGTGTACTTTCAGAGTGTCATGATATTTGCCTCCTACAGCTTGGTCCAAATCACAGAGGAATGAGGCAGCTGCTTCTGCCCTTGTAGAAAACTCCTTGGCTTCAGTCCTGTGCGCATATTCTGAGTTTTCTTCTCTGGAGTGATGATTTCAAAACTATTCCTTCAGCCTTTATTTCTGCTTGTGGCTCTATCTAAGCAAAAAAAAAAAAAAAAAAAAAAACAAAACATAAAATAATATATTGATAACTTCGGAGTTTCTCCCAATAATTCTAAAACCCCTCACTTATAATCAGGAAATGGTGGTCCTACATGCATAATTTAATAACTTACCTAGTATTCATCCCTCTTTTTCCAGCTTCTGACTCTACTCCCTGTCTAAGAAATGATTTATTAAGACTACACAAAGTTATTCTGCTTTAAGATATGGGATTTAAGTCTTTACAGCCACTGCTTAAGGAGATTAAACTTTTTTTCAATTGAAGAACCATGGGAAAATGAGTTTGTCTCTTCTAAACTTTAAACCACCAAAACACCAAAAATAAAGTTTTTAGACAGTTTTAAAGGCATTACCATATTTTAACACAGATAAAGGAACTGCCTTTAAAATATATCCTAGGAATGAGTTAATATAAAGAAAGCAGATGCACAAGCAGTGAGGGCCATGGTTTCATTTTCTAAATTTACAGAAACTTTCTTTGTTTGGCTATGGCAGCCACAGCTACCTCAGAAGCAAAGGGCTAGAGGCCCTGCCATTCAGGTCATTTGTTTTCTCGAGTCAAACTCTGAGCACCTGTTAGAAAAAATATGTAATACCCACTGTGAGCCTCAGTTTTGCCTGCTTGCTACTTCATGCTTATTGATGAAATGCAGCTAGCTGTGTAATGAAACCCAAATAAAAAAGCCTTAAGGGTTCTGTTCTAATACATTGTTTATGCTGGAGTGAAAATTGACTGCACATTGCTTGGTTTGTGCAATTTACTCCTGAAATATTCCTATTCAGGAAATCCTGCAAATAGCAATATTCATCTTGAAAATCACCTCACAGAACCCTTAGCAAGCTGAGAGACATAATCAATGAGATCGTGATGTAGAGGGTGAAAATTAGGCATAATCACAGCCCTTTCCCATCAGTCAGCCCACTAGAAGGCATGCCTTTGAATTTTGATTTTCAAATGTACTCTCAATTTAGACATAAAATATGTTGATTTCAGATTTCACAAATGATAATTGAATGCTAAGATCCAGGGACCAGTTTAGAATTTCTATAAAGGATCTTATGTTTTTAATCTTTAATGAAGGCTTTCAATAATGAGTTAGAGGTATACTATTTATCTGACATAAATCTGCCTAACTACTGCTTTCCAAACTTTTTATTAAAGGATGAGGTGGGGGTGCATAATTTTGTGTTAGATTCACTGACTGAAATACTTTCATGTTCATGACAGAGAAGTTTTGGGGGTATTTTTCTTCCCTCAAAAACGACTTTCCTTCTGTGGACTATAAATAAACACAATATGCTACTCTGCTGGCTCTTTCTTACCATGTAAGAAACATAATTGCCCATAATGTCAAATCCACCGACAAAGGACAAAATTATAATGAATGACCATTAAAGTAACTGAATACCAGAAGCCTTTGCTGCATATGTCCACATTGCTGTGAGTGTTGTCAAAGAAAATTTGCTCTGGACCACACCTTACCTAGCAAGAAAGACTGTTCAAACCTTTTGCAGTTAGAGGAGAGACATTGAGTTCAATGGAGGACTTTTAAGTACTGAATGAATTTAGTGGAAAAGTACAGAAGGATGTTAGTGGAAAGGCTGGTCAATGTAATTGCCAATGGTGCTTATTAAAATTAGATTCTTACCCACCTACAGAGAGTGTCTGGTTGGGGCATTAACTTCCTTGATTATGGCATTTCAAAAGGATGATTCCTGAGTCCTTTAGAAAAATACTCCTAGAGTATAAAGCAAGCAAAGAAGTAGAGAAAGAGTGTATAATAGAAGGGTTTCTAAAGTAAATTCTCTAGGAAAAGGGCAGGAAGACTTAAGGTCAGAAAGAACCTATCTTAAGTTTAGTCATGCTGAGGAAAATGATAAAGCTCTTTGTCAGTTTCCCCTTTTGTTCTACAGAAGCCAAATTGCCCACCGAACAACTTAGGAAAACTGGCTAATGTAATCATTTCAGCAGCTTTCTGTTGTTGAAGGACTAGTTGATCCAATTCTGATACACAATAGCAGAAAACATTTACTTGATGGTATGAATAATCAGCTATTTCCTAAGGGGGACTTTATGAAAGTAAGAAGGAAATATGAATACACTACCAGTGACACTCCACATCATGTATAATCACAAGAATGGGATATCCTACTTAGAATAAGTTATACTCCATGTATGTATAATGTGTCAAAATATACTCTACTGTCATATATATCTAAAAAGAACAGGAAAAAAGATTTTTTGATGCTAGGCTAGAAATGTCCTTAGATGGTGGACTGAAGATGACATAGGCAATCTTATGGATCTCTTGGTTTTCAGTTTAAATGCTTTCAGCAGTGGTGTAGGCAGTAGAAAGTCTTCATTGGGATTATGTCTCATGAAGTAAAGCATGGAAGATCTGGGAGTTTGATGAACTTCCTGAGTAGTCTACATATTAGTAGCTGCAGGCACAAAAGTTGTCTATAGATAATTAATTTGCTACAGTGATGATTCCTGTGCAGTTTACATCAAGTCAATCAACTTT